CTTTCCCTTTTAAAGAGTCAGTGTCGTCAAGGCGGCTCCATGTTCCCGCACAGCCACTCGTGGGCTTTTCCCTGGCGGCTGATGAGTGTTGGCCACAGGAAGCCTGTCTCATTAAGCCTCTGTGAATGCAAATAAGAAAAAATGCTAATGAGCTGGCAGAGCCGGGCGGCACAGGGACCGGGGGCGGCCGGGGGGGAACGGGGGCTCCATCCTAGCGGACTCCTCTGGGAATCCCAAGGTCCAGCTGAGCTGGTAGAACCCCCCAAAATGTTCCAGGGAGCGTTTCCTCCTTCCTTTGCCTCCAACCACCCCCAGGGAGCTGCCCGTGGGGTGCCCCACAGCCCCACGGCTGCCGGGGGAGGTGCAGGGAAGGGATGTGTTGGTAACATCAGACAGCGGCTGCACAGACTTTAAAGGGCAAAGACCAATTAGCAGTGATGAACTGCTCAGGAATCTGTGACTTTCCCTTTTAAAGAGTCAGTGTCGTCAAGGCGGCTCCATGTTCCCGCACAGCCACTCGTGGGCTTTTCCCTGGCGGCTGATGAGTGTTGGCCACAGGATGCCTGTCTCATTAAGCCTCTGTGAATGCAAATAAGAAAAAATGCTAATGAGCAAATAAAGCTTTCAGACAGGGAGGGGAGGCTGGTCCTGCTGCCACTTGGGCTCGGATGCTGCGTCCTCCCTGTTCCCGGCACTGAAATAGCTGCTGCTGGGTTTTTTTTCTTTCCAGTAAGTAGCGTTCAGGTAATTAATGTGGTTTCTACCCTTAGCACCGTTCTAATCAAAATTCCATTTATCCCAGTTAGTTCTTTTAGCTGATTAAAGTCCTCGCTCCAGGTAATTAAAGTTCTGGGCAGTGAAGCAGAGGGACTGGTGGAGCCAGAGCCTGGGGGTGGTTGGGAAAGCTGCCCCGGGTCTCCTCTTCCAGGCACCTCACCTTGCAGCCTCGGGAGCTGCTGCCAGCATCCTCCTCTCCATGGCTTCTCAGGGACATGAAGCTAAAACTCCAACCATCTCATCCAGGGTTTCTTCAGCACAAGCAGCATGAGGCCCAGCAGAGCTCACACCAGCCCGTTTTTCCAGGTATGAATTCCCAGCACTTCCCCATGCCCAGGTTGGTGGCCTCAGTGTTTTTGACTGAGGAGCTTTTCTCCAAAGGGAAAATAGAGAAATTTGCAGTTTAACGTCCCCCCTTCTCATCCTAACTGTGTATTCATAGGAGAGGTTGGAACAGAACCACAATAAACCTTCCCTAAGCAAAACGAGTTGCAGCAAGTGCCAGATCAGCTGAAAGCAGCAAGTCGAATGTTATGGACACAGTTTATAACCCAAAAATCCTGTCAGAAAATCCAGCCTAAAGGGCCATTTGGCTTCTGAGATAAACGTGAGGATAAACTGCAGCACAGACAAGCTGGTTGCTTTAGGCAAAACAGTTTATTTACTGGAAAAGATCCCAAATTGGATCATAATAATCTGCAAACTCATGACAGTCAATTCAGTGTTAAAATGTGAAGATGAAAGAAATCAAGAGGCCAAGTCTTCCCTTTAGAAATTGTTGAAGCTAAGTAAATTTATTTCTACTTCCTTTAGTAATTTTTCATCTAATCTTAAACCCCAGACTCTTAAAGGCAAACCAAAAGTTTATTTCAAGTCTAACAAAATGTTTGTTTGTTTGTTTTTTCTTTTTCTTTCCAGAGCCAAAGCAATGAATTTTTATTTCATTATATTATTTTTGGTCCAGAAATTTGGGGGAAAAAAGGCTTTGTTTTCTCTGCACTTTCAGCTGTGCCTCAATGTTTGGAACCCTGCCCAGGCAGATGGGAGAGCTGCACCATTTTCAAGGCACGGTGCCCTCACCTTGGCCTGTCCCTGCCTGTCCCTGCCCACGCCCGGGGTGTTGGTGCTGCCTTTATGGCACCTCCTGAGGTGCCAGGAGAGCCCAGAGTGAAGGAGCCAAACATGCAGAAATGATTTATAAGACCCAAGGGCCTTTGAATCCATCTTGTTAATAAAACAGCAGAAAAAGCTTTTATGTTCAGGAGAAATTTAATGACTGCCAGTGATGGGGACAGCCCTGGTCCTACAAGTAATATGTGGCCCATACATGTAGCCCAGGATTGCTGCCAGGCTGTAGCTGCCATGGGGTTTATCTCACCCCATCCAGCTCCACAGACTTGCCCTCACACATATTAGAAACAAGTTACCTTGAGCAGGAAACCTGCCTCTCACCAGCTCAGCCTGCACCACTTCACTCATTTGAAGAAACCCACTTGCAGGCTAAAAATATGTTATCTGTGCTCTTTTTTAAATAGATTTCCTTTAGTGCAGCCACTTCCACGATCAGCTCTGACTGATTCAAAGAGCATTTTCTGAAAAGCCTTTTTTTTTTTTCTTTTCCTATCAGCTGCTCCTTCCACCTGTTTATCTGGTTATACATCACTGAGCACTCGAAAGAGCAGAACCCTGCAATAGCAAACCCTCACTTTTTAAAAGAGAAATAAAAACAAGTTGCAGTTAAATATTTAGCCGTGTAAATTTACCAGGTTAATGCAGGACTAAAATCCTGGTGGTGATGGACAGACTGGTCCCTGGGGTCCCAGGGGGGAATGTGGGCAGGGACTGACCCACGCTGGGGACCTCAGGGGACCCCAACTCCTGATGCAGCTCCTGGGGTGAACATCAGTGGTGCTGGGGTTTCCAGAAAAGGGGAGGAGGAAGCCTGCCCATTGCCTCCACTGCTCCCCCCCAGCAGACACCAAGTCATGCCCCTGTCCCTTATCATTTAAATGACATGTTAGTAGAACCTTCTTCACTGAAAGGGTTATTAAACACTGGAATAGGCTGCCCAGGGAGGAGGTTGAATCAGCATCCCTGGAGGTGTTTAAAAGCCTTGTAGATGTGGTGCTGAGGGACATGGTTTAGCACCAGGCTCTGTAGGGTTGGGTTAATGGTTGGTAGAGTTGGGTTGAGCTTGATGATCTCAAAGATCTTTTCCAAACAGAACAATTCTATGATTTACAATGTGTTACCCTTGTAGAAGACTTTGACATGGAAGCATCCAGAGCACTCTTGGGGCAGCAGCTGGGCTGCTTAGGGCCCAGCCAGCCCCATTCTGCCGGGCAGAGCTCGGGGACCGCTCTGCTCCATCAAAGCTCAGGGCGTTTTAGCACAAAGCTGCTTGGAAGACCCAGCAAGAGGCAGAGCTGCCTGCAGGGATGCTGTGTCTCCAGCCCTGGAGCAGAAGAGGCTGCAGAACAGCAGAGAAACACCCAAATATATTTAAATGAGCCAGTTGATAAGGGAGGCGTCATGGAACCTTGTGTGGGCTCGTTCTGCCATCACCATCGGGGCAGAGCGAAACCGCATCCGGCTCCGCGCCCCTGAGACCTCTGTCCCGCCAGGCCCTGGGGCTGCACAGCCCCAGCACTGCTGCCCAGACCTCCTGGGCTCCTGCTCCCTCCAGTCCTGAGGAAAGGGAAGGTGTGGGAAGCTCCACTCCCCAGGTAAAACACCCCGGGATGCTGCACTCAGCGGCGCGCGAGGCCTCGGAGAGCAGAGGGGTGGTGGCCCGGGGACAGAGCTGGCTTTGGTGGCCCCGTCCAAGGGACATGTGGCCTGAGCCTTATCCTGGGCTGCAAGGCCTGGCTCAAATGGGATCCAATTTGAGGCATTCCCGTGATTTTTGCTTACCTTTAAATTGAGCGTGGGCATCTTGAATTCACTGCTGGGCAACCAGCCGAGCTGGAGGTCTTTACAAGCCTTGGTTTTAACAGAGCGTCTTGCTTGAGAAAGAGTTAATATCCCGGGGGCTGGAGGGAGGGGGGTCACAGCATGTTACTTGAGACACCAAAAAAGTACATGTGCTGCCAGCATCTTACGAGCTGTTATCTTCAAACCAGCCATTTCAATACGTGTGCCCGTATCACCTCTTCCATCTCCCCGTGCCCCAGCGCAGCAGAGAACCTGCCTGCCACTGATATTTGGATTTGGGTCTTCTCTTGCAATTTCCTTTCAAAGAGCTCATTTTTCAGATCGTTATCTGCTGCAGCAGCAGCTCCTGCCCCACGACAGGGAGGCAGCCATTTAAGACTGAGAGAGCCCTTTGAGAAGGACACTGGGGGACAGATCAGCTCAATGCGGGAGGGGGGAAAATCCAGCAAGACCTGGAGGTTTAGCCTGGCAGTTGGGATTGCACAGGAGAGTGGTGAGGCTGTGGGAGATGAATAAGAAATGTGTCAGAGGGGAAATGACAGTCTCTGATCCTTTGGATGGATAGTGCCTTTCTGTAGCTGTCCATCTGCCAGTCGGGCTTTCAATCATAGTGTTGTGGCTCCTTTAATCATCGCATCCAAGCCTGGGATGAGGACATCTCCCTGTGTTACCCACTTGCAGACAGTAAGTAGATACAGGCACTGAGGGGAAATTTAAAGTGCTTTTTTTTGCAAGTGAAAGCTCACAAAACGTATGTCCCCAATTACTGTCCTGTACCGTAAATCTTCCAGTGCTATGGCCAGAAGTCCCAAGCCAAAGGGCCCAGTTCAGGTGTGTGTGTTTTCTGATTATGCTCCTCAAGTCCCCTTAACTCCAACAGGATTGAAGTGCTCACCTGGAATTAAATCCAAGGTGCCTCACAGAGGTGTTGAAGGGCCTCTGACCTTTCTGGCTGGATGTTGCCTGGTGCAAGAGCCTGACACTAAACTCCTGGCTGCCTTTGGGTTACTTTCTCCTATGGCTTGGTTGTGGGTTTTTTCCAGATTATAATTATCAAATATTTTTATGAATTAAAAAAAATAAATAAATGCAGGAGCAGATTAAAGCAAGAGGGATAAATTCCAGCTCTGTGATTATCAGTGAAGGCCAGAAGCTCCAGTCAGGTATCAGATATGGTGGAGGAAGGAGGGTTCAGCTCAGCCCAGGGCTGTGAGCTGCAGCAGAGGGAGGGCTGGGGCAGCTGAAATGTCAGCCCATGGGTTCCTAGTGGTGAGCCTGACCTTGGGGTGATGTGGAGCAGCCTGAAGCTCAATGGGACCATTTTGATTGCATTGCCAGCAGGGTTAGCTGCCACCCGCTGTCCCCCCAAGACCTCCAGGGTGTCCCTGGGCACCCCAGCAACAACTGGGCAGCCTCACTGGGAGGATGAGCACATGTGAGTGGTGAGTACAGCACCAGAGGCAGGGAGCCACAGGTTACCCTTCACAGCCAGCAGCAAGAGAGATGCTCCAAGGTGGAAGGGTCATGTCTGTTTATGGCTTCTGTGTCCTTGCTTGGCTGCAGGATGCTGAGCTGTGGGTCCCTGAGCAAGGGGATGCTGAGCTGTGGGTCTCTGGGCAGGGGGATGCTGAGCTGTGGGTCCCTGGGCAGGGGGATGCTGAGCTGTGGGTCCCTGGGCAGGAGGATGCTGAGCTGTGGGTCCCTGGGCAGGGGGATGCTGAGCTGTGGGGCGTTGGGCAGGGGGATGCTGAGCTGTGGGTCCCTGGGCAGGAGGATGCTGAGCTGTGGGGCCCTGGGCCGGAGGATGCTGAGCTGTGGGGCCCTGAGCAGGGGGATGCTGAGTCCCTGCTTCTGGTGATGCTGTGCCTGCTTTTGCTGCACTGGGGGCAACTACATGTCATCACTTGGTGGCCACACTTGGCAGACATGCAGGTGCAGGTCTCAGGAAGGGCCTGTGATTTTGGCAGAAGCCATGTTTGTCACTTCTCTCTTCCAGCAAGCACTTTGTGCCCCTCCAGCCCAAAATCTGTACCAGCAAACCTCTGTCTGCAACATGCTTTGAAGCAGTGGCAGCCAAACAGTCCCCGACAGATTGAAAATCATGCAGTTATTTCTATCACTGAGACCAAGTCTTTTCCTCTTGCTCAGGTGGGTGCTTGTTGCCATCTCAGCTGTCACCTTGGTCCTACACACCCTTCTCTTGCTGGCACTTTACATCATGCTCAGC